AAACCAACTGCCACCAAGTCAATTTTGTTGCAGGACAGAGTAGAACTGCTCCCTACGGTTTCTGAGGCTGTAAATCTTCACAGGAGAAGATAGTCGCATCTTTCTCCCTTGGAATGGCTGGTGGCATTGAACTGCTGAGCTTGCACTTAACAGTTCCATGAATAACCCAGTACACCACCAGGGCTCTTCTACGGGTTCTTTAAACTCACTGCCCTTGAGCTGACTCCGACACATGGCCACTCTATAGGGCAGGATACAACTGCCCCTATGGGTTTCCAAAACTCAACTCTTTCAGGCAGTACAATACCTTGTCTTTCTCCCGAGGAGCAACTGGTAGTTTGCAACTGGTGACCTTGCAGTTCACAGTCCAACACAGAATCACTACGCTGGTTCGTTAGGACCTCCTACTCATGTGAGAGCAGCCCAAGTCAGCAGTTCAAAACCACCAAGGGAGAAAGATGATGCCTTCGCCCTCTGTACGCCTTCCTGGGACCATTTTCCCCTGTCATATAGGGTTACGAGGAGTCGGGCTCCACTCATGGCAATGAACTTGTTTGGGGTTATTTTTGTTTGTTTAATTATTTGAGAGCAATGCTGTAAACCTGAGGGTTTTCAAACTTTTGAAAAAGCTTTCAACTTCTGGTTTTTTCCTTCATGTGTTGCTATGATTTTTCATATGTTTTGAAGATATTTAAAAAGCAAAAGGACACATAATTCTAAATATGCATCTGTCTTGACAGATTCAAAATAAATTCATCATACTTAAGAAAATCACTTATTTTTCTAATTTCTATTTCCAGAGGATCCATGTTAATAATGCAAAACTGGGAAGTCTCAAAATGGTATCTTTGTAAATATGGTTTTTTTATGCTCTGTTTGGTTTTTCCTTTTTTGGGGTGGGGGGGCATTTGCCTGCATTATAAGGAGGGTTTCTTAGTATTTTGAAAATGAATGATTATTCTCAAGTTTTTAACTGATAGGGTAAAGTATGCTGATAGCACTAGGATTCAAAAACTAGGAAAGTCAGAAGCAGATAAAATTTATTGAACATTTCTGCAGAGGACAGGAGGGTTCTTAATATATTGGGGTGGAAAGATTTCAAACTGTGAGAAAATTTTAAAGCCCAAAGAAAAGGGCAAAGAGAAGCACAAGGCACAGGTGACTGAGCAGCAGAAGTTAGGTAAATCCATCCCAAGTGATGAATAAATTTAAAAGTAAGAAAATAAGATGTCGATGTGGTCTTGTTTATCTAATGCAGCAATAACAGAAATACCACAAGTGGATGAGTTTAACACACGGAACTTCATTCTCTCACAGTTTAGGAGGCTAGAAGTCTGAATACACAGTGCTAGCTCCAGGGGGGAGGCTCTCTTTCTAGAGAAAGGTCTTTGGAAGGAAAGTTTTCCTGTGCTGCCTGGCTCCTTAAAAATTGTCAAGTGTCTTAGCCTCATTCTCCCCTGAGCCTTGTAGGTTTTCAGTTGAGATGTTTTTCCCTTGAGTCTTGAAGGTTCTCCATTCATTTCTCTCCTGTATCTTCTGTTTCAGTAGTAGTAAGGTCCTTCTTTCTCAGCTGGCTTCTCTAGTCCACTGTCTCTTGAAAGATAAAGCTGTGCGGGGCTCGTGAAAGGGTGTGGCTTGAGTAAGAGTAGGACTTGAGTCACACCTTCTTTAAATCCATCATCCACCATATACACATCCTACTCCTGCCTCACTACCACAGAGCATAGGGTTCACAAGACCTGTCACCAAATGGAGGATAAGTGCAGCAAATCACAAAAAGAGGAAACCACGCAATACTGGGAATCATGCCTAGTCAAGCTGACCCATATTTTAGGGAAAAACAATTCTGCTCATGAGAAATACAAATGTGTCTTCCTTCATAGGCAAACTACCACGCGTTGCTAGCACAGCATATAATTTTGCAAAGGTGTTTCAGCACATGTAACTTTAGAGCTCTGCACTTAGAACAGGTTATTATTCCAATGTTACAGATGAGGAAACCACATTGGCAAGAAAATTCTAAAGTAACAGTAGAGAAGGAGCAGGGTTGTAAGAGGACTCCTGTAAAGGACCAGAGAACCCTCTAATAACCTGTAACAATGCTTGCAGTTTCTACATAGGGCAGAAATATACAAAGCCAGGCAAAGCCATTGAACTTGGAGGGGATGGGAGAAGAAGACAAAATGTAGAGAGGAAATGTTCTGTAGTAAAACCAGAATAGAGAAGTAGGAAATATACATTTCTCTGAGCAACTCCTGATGATTTTAGGTTTAACCTAAATTATTCAGGTTCAAGGGTTTGCAAACAAGAGATTTTGAAATCTCTGGTTTGGCAGAGATTATAAGAATCTTAGTAGATACTTCATGTTTTCATTAAAATATTCTTTTTAATGCCCTCTCTAAAAGAATGACAATTAGTTTAAGTTTTCCTCCCAGTAGATATCCGGGTCTAGTCGCTAATAATATAGGTGGCATCTTGTTGGGAAGAACTCGAGGTGGTGCGGGGCTGACGCATTGGATGCTAACTCTAAGGTCAGCAATTCACGCCCAGCAAGCAGCTGCTCGGAGGAAGGAGAAAAAGGAGGTTTTCTACTCCTTGTAAAGGGTTACGGAAACCCACAGAGGCAGCTCTACCTTGTCCTATAAGTAGGGTCAAAATCAACTCCAGGGCAGGGGGTGATAGTTTTTCTATGTGAAAAAGAAGGGAACCTATCGTGCTTTCTATGGCTTTTGTTTCTGAGCTCTATTTTTGGAAATGAAAAGGTGGACTGATATTCAGCTACCCCTGTTCAGCAGTTGTTAAGGACCACACCCAAAGAAAGCAATAGAACATGCTTTGCTGTTCAGTGATTGGGAGCGGCTCCAAAATTCCTTTTCAGATAGATGTCTGTGTAATCATTCAAGTACTGAGAAAGCTACTATAAAGGAAAAAGTTTATCCTGAAGAGGCAGTACGTGTCATTGCTTTGTAAATTTGTGGGGGAATAAGCTATCTCAATAACATGCGTTTTCCACACACACGGACAAAATGAGCTTAAATTGTCTTATTTTATTGGTTGGACAATGGTGGGAGGCATAACCTTTAACTGCTGGATGATGTAGCTCCGTTGATCACTGGTGAACCCTTAGAGGGAAGGATGGCAAGATTTCATGTTACATACTTAGGACATACTGGGGGGACAGTCCCTGGAGGATTTCATGGTTGGTAAAGTAGAGGGTCAGCGAAAAAGATGGAGCCCCCAAGGAGCGGGCTTGCCCCGCGGCTGTAATCATGAGCTCAGGCACAGGAACAATCGCGCAGAACCAGGAAGGGTTTCATTTGGTTGTGCATCGGGTCGCAATGGATGGCACCTGACAAGGACAGTAGCGATTGTTAAGAAGCCCTGGTGGGCATAGTTATGCATTAGACAGCCCACCATGAGGTCAATGATTAGGAACACCCCGCCACCCCACCCGCGGAGGATGGATTAGGTGTGACTTGCGCCTCCCCTGCAGCCTGGGAAAGGCCCTGGAGCAGGGATGGAGCGCTGCCCTCTGGGTGTCTCTCCGCTGGACCACAGCGAGTTGGAGGTCTTCTCAAATGTTGTCGTTGGGTAGCCCTCTTGGAGAAAGACACCCACCTGGGGGGTGGGCAAAGCGAATGAAAGTCCGGTTGACGATCATTTGGGGGTTTTCTCTCGCTGGCGTCTGGGGGACGCGCGTCGAGACCAGCGAATGCTTAGAGGTGGGAAGGGCAAAAGCACTCTCACGAGGCTGCAGAAAAGAGTGCAGGACCTAGGGAAATCTGCTGGGGTCAAGTTGAATCCTGGGAACCGCGGTCCAGGAGCCGGCCGACGAGGGCGATAGGAAGGAAGATAGGGTGGGGGCGGCGCTGGGTGTGGAGGGAGGAAAGGGGGCGGGGGAGCCCTGGAAAGTGAGCGGGACTGGGGCTCGTGGGGGCTCCGAGCCGCGGGCTGAGGACCGAGGACCGAGAGTGGGGAGCAGAGAAGGCCCGGAGGGAGCGGGAGGAGGAGCCCGAGCCCGGGGCAC